TTTCAGAACTCTGGAACTTGGATTTATGATGCTACCGGACCATTTGGATGTCACATGTCGATCACAACATTTCCTTCTGTTTGCACAGCAAGCTGGAAGGAGATGGGAAGAGTTTGTTCTCTTCCGATTGGCAAACGCAACTTGATGTGGACACCTGCTCCAACGCAGAGAAGGGTTTAGAAAAGGGAGGCCGTTGGGCTATTGATCAAGAAAACGAAGCTAACCTTCAGAGCGACTGCTGGCGTGGAAGAGACAGGCTCCCCTTCTTCTCATAAATCTTCCTCCACAAGGGAGGCATCAATCACTCTTAGGCTTCCTCCGAGGAGGTGGACGGAGATCAGTGCTGATCTGGTCAACTGGGGGAACCTGTCTTTCAAGCTTTCCCTTTGGCCCTGGGCTCTCCGAAGCAGCCTCGCTCCACCTTTCAGAGCACTGAAGGGCAAAACAGGCTTTGTCAAAGGGAGAACAGTGTGGAGTCAAATGGCAAGTGAGAGTTGTGAATTGCCCATAGTTCCAATTAGCTGTGCAAAAGGTTGGGCAGTGGTTAGAATGCAGCATTGCAGGCTGAATCTGCCGACTGCCAGCAGTTCGATCCTGACCGGCTCAAGGTTGACTCAGCCTTCCATCCAGTGGTGGGGTTCAGACTGGTTCTATAGAATCGGTAGTAAAACCAGCTGGAGGCTCCGCCCACTGACCCTGACATCATCAGAAGCGATCACGTTGCAAACCGGTAGTAAAGGTAAGTAGAACCCATCCCTGCTTCCATCCTTCTGAGGTCGGTAAAATGAGGAGCCAGATTGTTGGGGGCAAGAGGCTGACTCTGTAAATCATTTAGAGAGGGATGTAAAGCACTGTGAAGCAGTATGTAAGTCCAAATGCGATTGCTATGGCTATCCTTCACCTTGGCACAGACTTCCCCTGGATGGGAGCTCCACCCAGTCTAGATCCTGGATTCCTCTATCAGAAATGCCTGTGGGGTGTTGAATGGTAGAAGAAGCCACAAAGGAACAGGAAGATCTGATTACGGCAGACTTCCCAAATGAACCCACCTAGAACTAAGGAGAAATTTCCTGACAGTGAGAACAAATAATCAGCTGGCCTTCAGAAGTTGTGGCTGCTCCATCACTGGAGAGTTTTAAGAAGAGACTGGACAACCATTTATCTGAAATGGTATAGTGTCTTCTGCCTGAGCAAGGGGTTGGACTAGAAGACCTTCAAGTTCCCTTCCAACTTTGCTAGTCTGTTATTCTGAACTGACATCTAGAGCTCCCAGGATGATGGGGCTCTGTTATTCTGCTTATTAACAGAATAATAGAATTGGAAGGGAGCTTGGAGGTCTTCTAGTCCAACCCCTTTTTGCTCAAGCAAGAAACCCCGTACCATTTCAGACAAATGGTTGTTCAATCTCTTGTTAAAATGAGCTTTTGTTTTTGCTGGCCAACTTCAAGGCTGGTCTCTCTACTTTAGTGGTTGGAACAAGGAGGACCGGACAAAGTGATTGTGGAAAGTCTTCACCTTGGAGTAGCCATGAGTGATCTGTCATTTTATTCATGTTATTTATATAGTCATCCCCCTCACTTATATGACTACGGGCAGCTTACAAATATTTAAAACGTTAAGCAGCAGAAATAGTGCAATAATTAAAAGCATGACATAAAATGTCTATAAAGAATATCATAAAATTCATAAAACTCATGGCTGAGATAGTCACATCAATCAATAACAATCAGTACCTCTACTGTCTGTCATGCAAGTGAACTTCTAGAAGAACTTGAGAAACCAACAGCAACTGAAATGGTCCATTTTCTGGGCTCATTGCCAAAGAAAAGAGAATCTGAAACTCTTGGAAGACCAACCTTTGGTGGTTTTTGTCCGAAACAAATCAAGCAAACCACAACGGAGTTTGACCTTCCACCAAGTATGACACCTTGTATGTTTTCTATCCCTCTCTGGTCTCAATCTGTGTATTCAGAATGAAGGACATTGGCTAACCATGTCTTGAAAACCTGTCTGAAGTGACCACAGGGCTCCAAATTCTTCTTCCATGGTCCACCTGGCAGATGTCCCTGGTCTTCCTCCACCTCCATATTTCAGCAGAGTTTTCATTCACAAAATGAGTGGTAGCATGTAGAATAAGGAATGCCACATTTCACTCTTCTGTAATTATGGACATAGTTTGACAGTATCCATGACAGGTAAGCTAAAACCGTCCCAAAGAAGTCCTAGCGAGGCATCAAGAAGAAACCAGAACACAAGGAGCTTGAGTTGGAAACCTGAGGTCCAGAACCAACCCAGAATGTAAGTAGAAACCATGTTGTATCAGGTCAACAAGTTGAGTGTGTCATATCCTCCAGGGTTATAGGTCGTATCACTTTAGGAAGACCCCGGACACGTCAGCTCAGGCTCTGTGGTTGGTTTCCCCAGAGTTTTGCTAGACCCCAACCGCACAAGGGGACGAGATCAGAATAGCATAAGTCGTTTAAAGATTCAGTCAGAACCGGTTTTGTAGAAATAACACCTTGAGCACAGAGTTGTTCGTCACGACCTTTATTTATTTATTTATTTATTTCCAGCATTTCCATCTTGCTGACTCTGGAAGGACGCCTGGTGGCTTACTCAAAGCTGCACACGGAATCTATTAAAATCATCAAAGAGGCTCTGTTCCCTCATCTGCCTACGTTCCCAGTTTTCTGAAGAATATTTATACTTTTCCTTATTCAAAAGTTGCCTTTGTTTGGATCCAATAAAAAGAGCTCATCCTTTTTGCACTGACCTTATTCCCATAAATAGAAAGTAGCCGAGCTTCAGCAGGCAGTCAGCTCAAAATGGTTGGTTATGTAGCAATGAAATAAGAGATTAATTTACTGTAATTATGAAGCAGCGAATCTGTTCAGCTGACTGGAATTAAACATAGCGAATGTTTAGCATTTAAATACTGTATTTGACACCAACGTATTTCTTACTTTTAATTAACAGCAGTTCCTCTATGCTGAAGAAGGCTTCGTTGCCAAATTGTTGTGAGCACACACTCACACAAGCACACAGCCCACCACGCTAGAAGGAAAAAAGATACTATTGTTGTTAATACTTCGGATAATTTGGAACGGAGAAGCACTCCCATTAATCTTAGCAGCTGTAAAAGTCCCTTTCACAAGGACAGTAAACAATACACGTTTGGAAGATGGAAGTAACCTACTTTCATGGATTGCTAAATGGGATTCAAGTGAAGGAGGATATTCAAGGAGGAATAAAATTCCCCAAGAATTCTTTTCCTCTGAACTCGACTAAATCATGGAGTTTGGCCCCAGAATTTTGAGGAAGAGGAGGAAAACTTCCCCGAATCACAGGCAAACCTCGTTCCCCCCCACAGCAATAGCAAGTGGATTTCCTACTTGTTAGTGGATCCCACTAAAGAAAGCCTGGATTTTGAATCTTGGGATGGATTGGCAGAGCAGCCGCATTGGATCCGGGATCTGCAGTGCCATCCTTGGCATCTTGATGCCCTTCTGCCGTTACCATTGCATCGTGGCCTCCATTGTGCGATAGTGTCACAATGCAGGAGTGTCATTATGGCTTGTGTCGATATCTAGGCCAGCGCACCTGGATAGGCACACTGCTAGAAACTGAAAGAAATGGATTTTCTACCCAGAGCGTTGGAACACCTTGGAATTAAAGTTTTTTGTTTTAAAGGTCAGGCCGTTCCTGTGCAGAGTCTAAAGAGAAGGACATTTCAATCAGTCTTGCTTGGCTAAATCAGCATTTCTAGCAGAAGAGAAAGGCATTCTTGTTCATAGGGGACTTGTTGATTTGGGTTTAGTGTGCTATGCTAATGAAGGCCCCCGACCCTCTTTCTGAGTGACCTTCAGTCCAGCCACACCAGGGTCCTACTTCCAAGGGGGCAGCCCCAAGAGCCCAGGTAGCATCTCCCATTCCCAGCCCACCAAATTTCCACCTCCCACTCTTGGAAGAGTTTCCTCCTTGCTGAAATGAGAGACTCAAAAGCAGGAAATCTGAAATGCCAAGGTCTGACCTTTCCTTCACTCATATTTTCCACTCTAGCTGAGCATTAACCTCACAAAAAGGTTCTTGGACAACTGGGGATGGCAGGGAGGGAGGGGGTCCTTTGAAAGGAGCCGAGCAGATTGGATGGCTGCTCCACAAAGGTCTTTCATCAACCCCAGCTTGATCTTTAAATCTGGTCATGGGGGACGCTGGTGACCTTTCACGGGGGCAGAGAGGTGTGGCGTTCTCCGGGACCGCCCCGTGGATTTTATCCCCCTCTTTCTGGCTTCCGCTTCCTGCTGCTCAGCTCTTGGCTCACCTCTCACCTGTCGAAGTTAATGACCTGAAACTCCAAGATTCTCTGGTCCGGGCCTTTCTGTGGAGCGAGAGGGAGATGCGTTTTCTTGCAGCAATTGGTCACACCGCACTTGAAAAAAAGAACGGGCTGAATCAGGTTGGGTGATGTAGCCAGAGGGACCGTAGAAGATATTTGGCAGAAGAGTCAACATTTGGACGGGTTTTTGGGGGGTGGATTAGAACAATCACCAGAGCCCAGGAACATCAGGTGCTCTCTCCATGCTGATGCAATGATAGAGATGAAGTCACTGTAGCTTCCACTGGACCCCTTTGCTCCAACCTTTTGGAAAATGGTCTGGCTTTGAGGGGTTAAAGATGGGGGCGATGGAATGGTGCTTTTAACTTCCAGTCCCCTGACCATGTAGTGGGCATAGGAATAACTTTGAGGAACAGGTGGAAGAGCCTCAAGCAAGGCAGTGGCTAGATAAAGGAAATTTGAGTCTGGGGCAAATCTGTAACCTGAGTAAGCATCTCAGGCAAGACCCCTCCCCATTCTCACAAAGGTAAAGGGAACCATATTCAGACTTGCAAGATCCTGGAACTGTAACCTTATAATAAAAATCGTGTCTGCATCCACCACTTTGAGTTCCTAATCTGATCCAGGAGCTTGCAAGAGCCAACAGACCGACCGCAGCTCCCTGTTTCTGAAACTTTTTTAGTAGATGATAATCCTTCTTAAGGTCAGGGGCATAGAAGTTGCTATAGGAAATAAGGTGGAATCAGGCAGTTGCCAAGTAGGATGTCATCACTCTTTCCCATGATTCAGAAATGTACATTCGGCCGCTACCGTCTAAACTTATCTTTGCTTTTTTCCCCTTTCCTCTTCTTTCAGCCACATTACCCTGAACTAATCACAAAACGTGACTCAATTTTTTCCAAGCCAACGTTAGAGAGATTCAGCCATCTCGGGTAATAAATATATTATCCAGCTGGGGACTTGCAAAGGGAATCATTTCCAGTGGTTCAGCACAAAAGTGGGGAGTGAGGCCGAGATTTGTTTCCTCTCGAAGAGTTCTTCTACCTGCGTACAAGGAAGGTAAAAGGGAAGGAAAGTGGTTTTCGTTGTTGAGGGACTGCAGGAGAAGCGATGGGCTGCTTAGGCTGCCGGTGTTTACTGAGCACGGAAGGAGGTGTTGACTCACTAGGTCAGGTCTCTGGAGGACCAATTGGGCAGCGCTGCAGAATTGGAAAGATCCATCACGGTCTTCGTCTCTACGTTGAGACCTAGAAACACCAACCAAGAATGATTAAGAAAAACTTCTGGGCTCTGCAAGTCCGATCGCCACATCCCTGGCACGAGGATACCAGCCCAATTATGCTTTGACCTAAACTTTGATTAGGCCTCTGTGTTATTTTTACTGAGCAATCTCTTCCGTTTCATATAGTTGCAAATTAGTCGAACCGTATTTCACTGACAGGCCACTGAATCTACATATTAACAAAACTACATTAAAATGCAGTGACATTGGTGGAACTACAAGAGAAGCTCGTTAATTAAAAGGAAAATTCCCCCCATTAAAACTAAGCTAGCAGAAAAGAAACGAGCCTAATTTTAACTCCCTCCACCTTGCTAAAATCTGCTCTTCCTAATTAATCAACCTCGTCACGATGGTTGATTAAATCCCCAGCGGAACTGATTGGAGGTCCTGCCTTCTGGGGGTTCAGCATAGGCTTCCAGCTCAGCCCTACAGTGAGGTTAGGATTGGGGATCCAGCTAAGCCCCATAAGCTGAAGGAATCACTGATTCCTTGTCACCTGCTCTATCCCTGGATTGACCCAAAGTCCACGCCATAACTCTAGTCGTTGTTGAAGCACATGAAGAGCCTGACATTTGGCCCACAAATGGTCCACTTTGAATTAATTTCCTCTCTAATTACAAGGCGGTGATGGCCTGTTCTGCTACGTGAGGCCAAAGAAATTGATGGAGGTTTTGCATAATGTTGACAAGCAGATTATGCAATGCAGGATGCAGTTCGGCCAAGTCTCAGCTCCACGGCCTCAAGAGGACAGTGGCAAGTCCCATCTGGGATCTGGCCCATGACCATATGTGAAGGGACAGGATAGGAAAGGAGGCAGGCAGGGAGGCCCCACTTCAACAGTGTCCTATTCTGAACGACTGACTTGAAAAAGGACATTTTCTAGCTCAAAAGATGTGCCACCCCCCCAAACAATGAAAAAGGGGTCTGGAGACAGGTCTCAATGAAGAAAGAATCCAAACCGGATCTTTGAGGTTACACTCCGGCTAAATTGCCCTGGCTCTTAAGAAAGGACACTCACGAGCAAGTCCGATCAATGATTCTTCAGAAGGAGGGCACCCACTTTCCGAGACAGTTTCAACAGAAAGCAATCTCAAGGGGATGGTGGATCTATTTAGATTTGCTGATCTTTTATCCTTCCGAAACTCTTGTATTTTCAACAAACAGAAAATGCCTGAGAGAACTTTGAGTTCTTTCAACTCGGATGTCTAACTTGAAAAGGATGGAAGCCAACCCAACGTATCTTATTTCAGGGTTGGTTCAATTTTAGGCATGAGAAATGGATGACGATGGACAGCAGTTAAAGCAAGGAAGGCACCAGCTTCCAACCAGCATCTCTGCAACGGCACTCCCACTGCCCAGCCCCCAGGAAGACGAACAGATGGAAAGACAGGAAGCAAAATTGGGCAGTCAGAGGGTGGTCAGCTGAGTCGGGTCTCTTTAGGACGTGGATCTCACCAATTGGTTTCTGCAGCCTGTGAAGTAATTGTGCCCCAAAGATTCAGGACTTCATAGGCTGCTGGTTTTAGACTGTGGAGAATGGTTGCACAGTTGGTTAAGCATCTGATTACAACTCTGAAGACTGAGCAACCTTGGCGTTGGAATAGGTAATTAGATAATTAGATAACAAAGGGGGGGAATAATTTGAGAGAGAGAGAGAGAGAGAGAGAGAGAGAGAGAGAGAGAGAGAGAGAGAGAGAGAGAGAGAGAGATATGACAAAACCGCTGTCTTCCCCAAGAGGAAATCAAATCTCCATTTTCTTTGGAAATCTATTATTCTCTTCTCTAGGTGGCCACAAAATAAATCATGTCACCGGGAACTCCAGGCAATAAAGGGGAAGGGCGTGGGGGTAGGATAGGATCCACGTAGGAGGAGAGAAGTAGAAAAGCATTAAACCAATTTTGTGACTCTCTGGAAGACTCCAGACATGCTTCCTTCAGCAACATAGAAAACGCAAAAGCCAGGCTCCCTCTCCCCCCATCTTTCCATTTATCCAGCTGTCCATTTTATGCAGTGGAAGATGACAAGCATTTAAAAATCAGTGGTGGACATTCTGGGCAAGGCAGGTGACAATGCAGTTAAATCTTCTTGCAAGAGGTTTTTCTTGCCCAAAGGTCTACCAGCAGCAGCAGTGGGATTCCCCTCCCCCACCCCAGCTCTTACAACAAGCCCAGCAGATGATTGAGCCGGGTGACCCCATGGCTGGAGAGAGGAGACCAACCCCTGGATGCATACATGGAGCTCAATTTACCCATGGAGCGGGTGGGTGGGTCTACTTTCCTCTATTCCCCCCAGGTAGTCCACATCCCAGGCCAACCAAGCTCTCTCCTCCCTTGCAAGAGGCAAAGGCAAGGAAAAAGGGGGAGGGAACCCCATTTTAGGCAAGGGTGCCAGTCCTGGTGGGAATTCTTTCAGATTGGCAGGTTGCAGAGTTCAGCCACCGAATTTAGCAACTCCTACAAAAATTCAAGGAAATGAAGAAAATGTGTGTGTGTGTGTGTGTGGGTGGGTGTTCCTTCCATTTTTCTTCCCTGCTGTTTTACCTAACCTTAACCCTCCCCCCCTTTCTTCTTCTGAAATGGGCCTGCTGAAATGTCCTCCCCTCCCCCAAAGCTTCTTTTTCATCCTAGCAGAGTGAGGCTGGATGGGTCCCATTGTGCGATATTCCCTCCAGCCTGGGGGGCTTCAAAATCTCTGTTGCTCTAAATCCTGGTTGCTGGATAAAACTTTGGGGTTCTATTAGAGTCCACTTCACCAGTACATTGAGTTCCTGAAGACATTTGGGACAGGGGGGAAATCTAAAAGTTTTCCCTACCAGTTCTGTGGACGTGGCTTGGTGGGCGTGGCAGGGTAATGATACTGCAAAATCCCCATTCCCACCCCACTCTGGGGCCAGCCAGAGGTGGGATTTGCCGGTTCTCCGAACTGCTCAAAATTTCCACTACCGGTTCTCCAGAACCTGTCAGAACCTGCTGGATTTCACCCCTGATTTGGGGGCTCAAGAGGCTCTTACTGGGATGTTCTGCTTTCCAGGACAGCCTATGGTACATCAAAACAAAAACAAAAAAATCCGAATAAGGACATTACACACCTAAATAATAGAAGCAGCTAAAAAGGGTCTATGCAGCATCCATGGGTTGGGGTATTTGCATAGCGGATCATAACATATTCACTTACTGCGATATAGTCAAAGGCCAGGGGAAAAATAGCGATGTTTTCCTTGGTGCAAACAAGTCAGAATCAGGAGGATCTCCTTGAGGAAGCCCTTTCCGAATTGGGCTGCCAGCAGAAAATGGCCTCTCCCCTCTAGCCTCTGGGAGGGGGGGGCTCCAAATCGATTCGGCCTTAGAATTTATCCCCTCCAAGTTGATCTCAGCACTTTGCAAGCCTTTGCCTATTTTGTCTGAAGTTTAGTATTTCTGGATGGCAAAATCCTAACTGAGCCAATTGCAAGTTAAATTTTCAAGAGCCATTCTCCATGGGTGTCTTTCTTTGGTTTTGTTAATTTAAAAGCTCTGTATTGATTTGCTCTGTCAAGCTAAAGCTCCAGGCTGTGCAGTTTCTAACAACAATCTCCTTTAATTGGCCAGAATCTTCATTGAGCCAAGAGAGGAGGAGGAGGGTGAGGAGGAGGAGGAGGAGGAAGCACCGCAGAGGGAGCCATAGATTATTTTGACCCTTTCTTGGTCTTGTCTTGATCGTGGCTGCTGCTTCTCCTTAGTCCTCCTCTCCCAGAGGACCCTGTAGAGAAATGACAGCTGGATCTGTCCCTGTGGTTGCCAGGACACCAAAGAAAATGGTCCATCCTTCTTCAATCCCGGACTCTTTGAAGCTTAGAGACCAGGGCAGAAGAGAAGTTCCTCACCAAAGTAAATAGTCACATCTCCTGATTTGGCCCAGGATGATGACCCACCACAGACCCAAGAAGCTGGTCTTGCAAAACCAGGTAAGCCTCACCAAGTCAACAGCAAACCAGTTTCATTGTCTATCTGCAGCCACTGACCTGGTTGAAGGCGTCGTGTGAACTCATCCGCAGAAACCTTGGGCTGCCTTCTCTGTTTTCCAGGCACGGCCACCTCATTGTCCCTGCAACAATGGATGCCCGTGGACAATTAAGCAAAAAGAAAGACTGCCTGTGTGGCGAGATGTTCACTTCATAAGAAAACCACACACCCTTTTCCTTAATAACATTGGATGCCAGCCAGGAATGCCACATCCTTATTTGCAAGCAAATTGCTTACAACTGGATTTTAATTTAGTGCTCTGCACCACCGCAAATGCCTTTTGTCGCATCTCATAAACTCTTGCAGAGGCCAAGCAGCAAGAATACAAAGAAAGCCACACAAAGTTCCTTTCCTGAGTTTACTAAGCTGGATTTCATATTATTAATATGATCATCATTATTTCGAGTAGGCAAAAAGAGAGGAAGGAAAGAAAGCTAAGCTGATGGAAGAGGGCAGGGAAAACAACGGGACTTCCGGTGGGGAAGGAGGAGGGCAGGTGGCTCCAGGACTGCAGCAGAATAGCCACCTTCATTTGGAGAAGGACCATCGCTTGGTCCTCGGAACAGGCAGCAAGAGCGAGGTGGGGTCTCCTTTGAGGGATCCTTGGTGCTCTCTGAGCCTGGTTGCTTTCTTGCAGATGTTTCATTACCCAAACTAGGTAACCTCTTCAGCGCATTTCAACCCTGGGTACAACTATTCTCCTTTACTGAGCCCTCCTTTCTTAGCCGACGACCTTCTGCCCTCCCGGGCACTGTGCAGAGAGTCCAGGCAGCCAAGGTGAGCTCCAGGATGTACTAACAGCCATAACAGCTGTTGGAGTGGGGCCTGCAGCTGCAAAAGGATCAGAGGCTCCTGCAAGGATTGCACTTTGCTTGTAGGCCTCCCAGGGTCAACCTGGAGAAATTGGATAACACATTTGTCTGAAATGGCAGAGGGTAGAAGGTCTGGGGCCTCCTGCCTGAGCAGGGAGTTGGACTAGAAGACCTCCAAGGTCCATTTCAACTCTGCTATCCTGTGGAGGTCTGCCATCCCTGGTTTTCAAGAAAAGATGGGGCAGTCCTTTGACCAACCCCTGCCTTAGGTGGTGGGTGGAGTAGCAGGGTTGGAGTAGAAGACCTCCAAAGTCCCTTTCAACTCTCTGATTCTATGAAACAGAGCCATTTTTCAAGGTCTTCCTGCCGTCCACCCAACTATCCCTCTCTCCTGCCTGTTCAAGGCTCCATCCCTGAGCCGAAAGGAGCTTCCTGCCCCCCACAGGAGATTTCCCTTTGTGTGGGGCTTGGCTCCGTTTATATGGATGCCCTGGGAAAAGCAACTTTCTCGGGGTTTTCAATGGATCCCTGTTTCACCAGGTAGACAGGTGAGTCTCAGGTGCATCCTTAGCGGCTTCTCTTCACCTTTGAGGTGGGCATGTCAGCCTCCCAAGGTTCTTGTCTAGCTCAGGCAGCATCCACCGACACACCCAGGACCTGGAAGGAGGAGGAAGCTTTTCTTCCCACCTGCAATGCAGGAGGACGTATAGCAGCCGGTTCCCAGCACAGGAGCTGCGATCTCGCTTGCCATGAAGAGAGAGGTGGGTTAGGGCAGCGGCTCAGATCAAACCAGGACGACATCATTTTTGCTTTGTGCTGTCCTAATTCTGTTTCTTTTGGAGCAAAAGAGAGATGAGGTTAACCTGCTGGGAACAGCTGGGTAGAGATC